AAATTTGGTCACAAGGGGAATCACGAAAGAAATATGCCAGTATCATTCAGATTTTTTTTGTTTTTAATGACCAAGTTCACAAGTTTGCCGTTTCCAATATCTTCAAATATTTAAAAAAAAGTTTTTTCTTTATTTTTATAAAATTTTTATAAAATTTAATGGATAATTTCACTTCGATTGACGAAAAGAAAAATTAAATGTTCTTAAAAAAAAATTATTTTTTTTGTTATTCGAACTTCAGATGACAATGAGCAATTATTATTTCTATTTAGTTCTTGCTTATTGCTTTCCTCAATAATTGGTCCTTGAATTCTCATTCTATAAATAATTTAAGAACACATTAGGATCTAATACCAATTTAACAAATATCAGTTATCATAACAAAAAAAAAGTGAAACTTAAATCTTGTCGAATCATATTCCAGCTAATAAGCCCAGCTATGCAACTTGAATATTAAACTGTCGAAGCTCAGGATGTCCTTTTACTTTCGCTCGATTTTACTCTATTTTATAACTTCAAATTGAATGAATGGAAAGTTGAATAATATAACATCCATGATTTCTAGTCTCGCTTTATTAACTGTTCATATATTGAAAAAATTTTTGCCATGGAGATTACTTTGGGCATAAAAGTAGCTGGGAATAAAAGCTCCATTTGGACTTTTCAAACAGGCGATAATCTCAGCAACAACAACCACTCGGCTATCATGCCGCTACTAATAAGGAAAATGGAATGGAATGAAGAAATGAAAAGACCCTCTTAGTTTCCCAGAAACTCGGATTTATTTGGATTCGAATATTCACTTATTTTCGTTTTGAAATTTGAAGCTTATTCAATAAAACTGCATAAAAATAGTATTTTTAACTAAATTTGGAAATTATTTATAGATTATAAATGGAAAATTTTTTAGGACTTTCTTCATATAACGCCTTTTCTCAACTCTTTCATTTCCTTCTTGCAATCGTGTAATTTTGAAAAAGTTTTCGTAAGCAAATTTATACATATTTTTTTGAATTATTCCATATTAACCCATATAAAATATAGAGATTTTCAATTCCTTATGAGCGACCGATTTTTGTTATTGAAAGTTATTGGTGCTAGCGACTCACCTAAATTTGTATTATTTGGATTTCTAGCAAAGCTATCCAATGACCAGTGGAGCTAACCAAACCAAAAGTGCTGTTCAAATAACAAATATATGTGCCAATATGCAGTATTTGTGTCGATTTTTTGGGTTGTTTTTAATGAATCCTTCTACTCTTTCAAATCATATCGTGACTCCTAAAGTCTCCGAATTACTCTTCCAACATCCTTTCAAATCTTGCTTCCCTTTCCCTTTCCCATTCCCTTAGCTTCCTAACGGCTTTGCTATAATTCCTTAACTTTAACTGAAATTTGTTTCACTCCATTAGCGAATATTCAAGTCCTGCGTTAGCTTCGTTAGCTTTCTTCTTTTCACGCTTATGAACAGAAAAAATTTTAAATCGGAATTTTGAGAATTTTATCAGAATAATTAATATGTGCTGAACTGCATTCTCCTCCTTTATGTTTCAGCACTTGAATCTTATTTGTTTTAATTTCTTTAGATTATTTGATTTACCTCAGTTTAATGATTTGCTAAGTGTTAGCTTTTAAATGTTTAATAATCTCGTAAAAGCTTTTTCGAAGTTCATTCCATACTTTGTTAAGTTAAAATAGTCATATCTCAATGATATTCCAATGATTGTCCAAAATTTACTCCCTTAGATTTATCCTTCACTCAATTATGTTACCTTTCTGTAACGTTACTAAAGTTCTTTTACTACTGTAGGATGAGCGTAAAGGCGCTTTATTCTTCTGTCTTTCTGGTTTATTCCTTCTAATTTTCCTGACATCTATTCTAATTGAATAAGGCTTTTTTTTCTGCTCGCCACAAATTTTTAGTACTTTAAATTTAAACTAAATTTGATTTTTTATATTTATCATTAATTTATTATTAATTTATTTTTTATATTTTTATATATTTTGAATAATCTTGTATTCTTAGCAGTAAATTAACCATGATGTTCCATTTGTCAACTCGATCTTAGCTAAAAACTTGCAACTGCGAGGTGCCAACTGAACAAAACAAAAAATGTCATTCGGAAGATTAAGGTCAATAAAAATTTAAGAGTTGCACTATTTGGCATGTAAAGAACTATAACCTAAAATATCCTAAAATATCAGTAATTCTTTATTCACTCTATTAGATCGTGCCATTGCAGTTTCGCTAGCTCAACTGCTTACTAAGCCAAGATGTTTTCAAACCTCTCGGTCCGGTGCCAGTCCAGAAATTAAGTGAAACTATTGCTTTTTTCACCAACTTATCGCTGAGTCACTTGTGCGTTCAAAATCTCTTCTAACCATTAGGTTATCTTCTCGCTTTTAATCCATCATTTATAAGGTTTAACAAGTTGCGAGATTTGTGTAAATTCCTGTAGCATCAAAGAACATGGCCAAACCAGCACAGACAATTTCTGATGATATTCTTAATAAAAATGGCATCCGAGGAAAGATGGTTAGAATAATGTGATACGTCCACCTTCCGGTGCGATGTATGTCCGGGTACGAGTATCTTAGGCAAGAATTGCTTCCTGATATCTTCTATTTTCTAAGTTTTTTTTCCTTCCCTCTTTTTTTTAATCTATCTTTTCTCTTTTTAAATTTAATAATTAAATTAAATTTAATTTATCTCTGTTCTCTGTCTTTGACAGGAGTAAACCTGTCATAATGTCAAAAATCCGAGTGGCTGCTTGGGGCCCACTCTCTGTATCTTTATCCCCAAACGACTCTATAGTGAAAGGGTCAGGTCTCTTTGACGCTACCTCTGCGTTTCCCGACTAGGCATGCTATTTATACTTTTGACCGGTGGTATATGCGATAAATATACAGTCCGTAATAATAATGATAACAATAATAATTAATACTAATAATGATAAAATTCCAAGGCACAAACATACAATTTGCCCGCGAACCGAGATAAATGCTCAAAATCCGTCAAGGGAGGCAAGAACCTATTCACCAACACTTTATAAGCGCCGTGAGGTGCTGGCTATAGTTGCTTGGAACATCAGAACGCTCATAGATGTTTCAAGCCAAGCGATCACTGTTCACACCTCTGTTCCCCTGAATACGGCATGGATGTGGCTTGTCGGAAATCTGCCTTCCTCACGTCGGTTCTCGAGTAATTATTAAATTTGGTCCCGAACAAAGATATTGGCTATATTACTATGGTGTAACTCTGGCGAAATGGCGTAGCGATTTTCATGTCTGAAAAGCCTCGATCCGCTCTGATTGAATGGAAGCTAATAAATGAACGTATGGCCTACGTGCGTTTCAAGAGAAAGTTCTGCAGAATTTCGGTCATCAGTGTACTCCAACTTTCTACATACTGCGATAAGGATGAGTTCTTTGCAGAGCTTCAGCTGTTAAGAACATCTCTGTCGAGAGGTGGTATGATCATAATTGGGGGAGACTGGGATGCGCCTCTAGATCATGATGCCGTTGCGATGAATTCGATAAATGGCAAATATGGCATCAGGGTCCAGTGCGCCAATGGAGAACGCCTTCTTCGTTTTGCTGCAGAGCATTTTTTGTTATTAATATAGCATCGGAGGAAGCATCTAGTCATGTGGAACTCTCTGGACAATCGGTATTCTAATCAGATTCACTATGGTCAGTCACCGCTGGAATAGTCACCTCTGTACTATAGTCGTTCTTATCGGGCAAAAGTGGTAACTGCCATGGATCAGATCATGTTATGGTTCGAGCTAAGATTCATACAAAATTGACAAGTCGTAAAAAATAGCGTATCCCGAGAAACCCAAATTAAAAGATCCAGAAAACTTCAGTGAAGTGAACACCAAATGGCAATCTGGAACTGCGAATGAATACTGGTCCCAATTAAAGACATGCTTTCAAAAGTCAACCACTTCCATACTAGAGTATACTAGTAGGAAGTGCGCTATTTAAGCGTCGGAAGAAAGTGTCAAACTAAAAGTGTCAAACTGTCTAAAAAAGCTGCCAAAGCACGAATATCAGCCCCTGACTATGGGTGCTTCGAAGAATTATAACGACAGCAACACGACTGGTCAGAAATCGCTATTGGAGCAATATGGCCTTGAGAATGGAGACGGCGGTTCGGATAGGTGATAATAGGAAACTGTTTCGTCTTCTTCGCAAAACAACTATAACTCGAGAACGGTTCAGTGAAATGATACGGAATATTAATGGGGCGCCTATTAAAGCTATTAAGGATCAGCTCAGAATTTTTTGAGGCCAAATTTAACCACGATGCACCATCTATTATCCCGAATATAACTGATTTGCCCGTCGAGCCTTACGTTTACAATTGCGAGCCGCCAACAGAAGAGGAAATAATCTCTGTAATCCATTAGACCAATAAAACTCTGGGAGAAGATAATCTTTGAGCTGAACTCTTCAAATATTGTCCATCGTCCTTTATAACGCACCTTCAAAAAATATAATTTCTGGTATGGAAGAAAAAAATACCAGATGACTGGAGCAAAGCAATTCTGCTTTCAATTCTTAAGAAAGGACGTACTGCGACAATTATCGAGGAATCACTGGACATCTCCGGAAAAATTTTAACTTCCCTTCTGCTAAATAGACTCATAGCAATAGAATGCATTCTAACCAAGCTGGATTCAGACCGAAAGGTGGTTGTGCTGGCCAGATGTTTACGCTAAGAAGGGTGTTGGAACATCGCTTCAAATACCAGCAACCCACCGTCACTTGTTTCATCGATTTTGCAGCTGCCTTCGATTCGCTTGATAGAATAGTGCTCTGGAAAATGATGGAATATGGTAGTATCCCACAGATCATTCGGCTCATAAAGGCATTTTATCAGCATACCCTGGCGGAAATCTGTATATATGGAGAACTCCTTTGAAATAAAAACTGGTGTCCGCCAGGGTTGCGTCCGTTTCCCCACAATATTCAACAATGCGATAGACTAGATAATGAACACCGCTTGTCGGCACTCAAGAGGTGTCCAAATCAATCCAGAGCATCGTATCACAGATCTTGAATACGCTGATGATGTGGTCCCTTTTGACAGTTACGATAAAATGCAAATAATGCTAAACAACTTGCCAACTGCAGCGAGAATTGATCAATGTAAATAAAACGAAAAGGCTTTCGTTTTATGCACAAGAAGCTGATAAAATGTGCCTCTTTTTATAAACTCATTGCCAGTTGAGGAAATGCTGGACTTTAAATACCTTGGATCCACTGTAATCCCAAATGGCCAGGCAAAGGATGAAATCGTAACTCGGATAACGGCAGCTAGAATTTTATTTTTCCGGTTGATGAAACCTTTATGGAACCGTCGCGAAATCATAAAGACGAAAATCCGCGTCCATATAGCTGCAGTTCGTTCGATTTTGCTATATGGTTGCGAAACATGGCCAGTGAGAGTGGAAGATATTAAAAAGCTATTAGCCTTTGACCACTCATGTACATTCTACGGATCCGCCGAACAGATAAACTCGCATATTCATCTTCGCTGGTTAGGGCACGTTCTCTGTCGTCTACTACAGGAGTTGACGCATACTTCATTACTTGCTAAACTCTATGATGGTTGGAGCCAAAAGACCTGGGTCAGGAAAGATTTTGGACGTATATGGAGACCAGTGATGTATGGACTTTAACGATGTAAAGAGGAATGGCTTCTATTACTATTAGCAATGGCGTCGGACCGAGCAGCTTGGAGAGTCTTATTCTTGTAGCCAGCGGAACCAGCCCAACCAGTAATGATGTAATATTAGAAGAAGAAGATTGGCCAAATTTCTTGGTCTTTTTTTGAGCTTTCCATAGAGAATAAAGAGAAATTTCATCTCTTGTCGCAACCATCTGAACCATCTGAGAGGAATTTCATCGTTTGCCTGGTCATTAGGCATAAGAGTGGATATGAAAGATATTTAAAGTCTAGCACTTCTTCGATAGTTAATGAATAAATACAGATTGCGATCTAACCAGCACATATAAAACTGAAAGCCAACTTTTATGCTGTGATATTCCGTGTTGCAAGAGCTATCTGTCAGCGTAAGCGTATTCAAGGCCACTGCTATAATTTGGACTTATTTTTGATTTCCTGAGTGTCGGCAAGTGATATCCACAACACATTTTATCGCACACTTGAAAATGGAGAGAACGCAACCATGACGCACACCGATGCATATGTGAAAAAGTTGCGTCGGTTTTTTATACATGCAAAAATTTTTTTTTGGACATATGCCGCTGAAATGCTTTGATAAATCCGACTTCTCTGGAACATTGTCGTGTTACATTACTAGTCAAAGCGTCACATTCTTGATCAAAGTAAAAGCTTGAAACACTCGAAATGATTCTACAGTACTCTTCACATTTTAAAAATTTGGTTACCACTATCAAGCACGCTTTGGCTTTATTGAGGAGCGTCCTGCTTTCGCGACTGCCATGAATCTACTCAGCTTATGAGAGGCAAAAACCTTTGCAGAAACATCTGGCTGATTTCTCAACAGTTGTCGCAACTTTTTAGCGAACTGGTTGGAATTGCCCTGTTCCGGTCAGATCTCTTTGAAAATAATTTTTGTACGTTGTACGCTGTTGTATATTGTGAAGGAAGCTGGGCAGCACTTGAAAAATTCAGCTCGCAGTTGTTTAACATCTTCTGCTTCTGCGAGATGGCTTATAAATTTTGGAAATATTGTTTCATACTAAACTGGTGGTTTGTAAGATCAGTTCTTCTTATCAATAGATATCGTTTCAGTCATATCCGAGACGTTGGCTGGTCCATCATTATTGCGTTAGATTCAAAGAAATCTCTTCATCTTTGACACCCTTAACGAGATTTCCATCTTTATCTCGGTTCATTCTGACTATTTCTCGAGCCTCGCTTGCTTTCCGATAATCGAGATGTGCATAGTTCAGAGTGTGGTATCGTAGACCTTGAATACCATAATGACGTAGTCCTTTTTACTGACAGTTGTGGAAAAATTTGTTGCTAAACAATGACTATGTCGACAAAAAAAAACCGCGTTTAGGGCCAACGAAAGTATCGACGAAAATTTTTTCATCTAATATATCAGACGATTTCTTTTTATCAGTTCATCATTGCTAGAAAAAGTGACAGATTTCAAATACTTGGGTCTACTCCTATATCAAGTACCAACCAAAAGACGAAATTGCAGCCCGGATTACCGCAGGCAACTAAAAATATGCTCTTTCGCCTGGTGTACTGGAATAACGAAATTATTATCAAAGTGGAAATTCTATCTAACTGTAGTACATGTGAAATACGTCCATGATATAATAATAAAACGATAATACGTCATTCTAAAAAAGTCTCTCTTACATCACTCTTCGTTTAATTCAGTTGCCATCTGCATTTATAACATTATTACATAGGCCGATAAAAGTTACTGCCTAATTACGTTATGTTTTTACCTATCGCAAGAATTAATACATAGATCCTGCGATGGATGACTAAAAACGAAGAAGACCAATAAAAACCTGGACCGATACCGTCAGGAAAGATTTTGAACGTATGGGTGGCCAGCAATATATGGTCTGAGCTGATGAAAAAGTTACTGCCATCGTGTCGAACGGAATTTGAAAATGCCATGTCCTTGCAATAGAGCCAGCGTAATCAGTTATGATGGGAGTTGCTAGAAGAAAATAGATTATTATAAAACTTCCATTCGATCTGTCACATCTGAATATTTCTGCAGAAAGTTGTTTCCACTATCTTTATCTTGAGAAGTTGTATTCGAGTACTTCACATTTCGCTCTTAATTCCTTCATTCCTAGGAAAGAGCAGTCCAATACTGTCTTCAAACGGATTAATACACATCCGGCTCTTGTGCTTTTAAATTTTTTTTCATTTTTTTTCTATAGGTGGAATGTAATAAAACCTTTGAAAGTGCGAAAATATGAATGATCAATTTTAATTATCAATTATAATACCAATTATCAATCATAAAAAAGATGAAAAAGGATAATCGTACGAAAAGATTCTATTGACTTTGGTCTTATTAGAAATTTGCATTTCTATTTTGGAGAGTTTCTGACAAAAGTAACCATCTAACTATTGTAAAACAAGGGATCTTAGAAATAATGAATATTGTTGAAAAAAAAGCCATTCAAATTGATTTTATTTTTTTCCGCGACTTAGTTTTTTGGCCTGAATATTATTATTTTTTATAAAGTGCTTTAAAGTAATGTGGTACTTAAATTTGTAGTTTGCAGGCTGCAAAAAAATTAACCGATACCGATGATTTTTTATATTTGATTTATACTTGATGTGTATTTCATCTCGACTCTTTTACTATCGACGTTTTTTACTTTTCTTTCCATTTTCACCATTCACTATGGGGAAGGATAACCGAGTGGATAATCCTTTATATTATGGCGCTATGAGGACTCGACTTCGACAGGAGTAAGCCTGTCATATAAACCATTGCCGAAATGGTGAGATGTTTTGGCTTTTGATTCTACACATTCAAACGTTCCGTACCTACACATTTGTAAATGCAAGAGATTTCGACGACCCACATACACTGCTATCGTTAAATTGCCCCTTGCGAAAATTTCTAATCGGTCTAATAGCCAATAGAATTAACCTAAGGGAAAATGTTACGGCAAACGCTAACCACTTAATTTTTGTTGAAATATTTGCAATCCGGATGGAGATAATCTAATTATAATCTCACAGAGCATTTACAAATATTATAAATGATTGGAATAGCCAATAGCCTTCTTCTTCCATCAATTTCTACCATTTTTAGTTTGTCTAATCCCATTGGCTATCTAAGGAGAACTTTGGGTTAAAATACAGGTGAATCTCTAGCATCGCCCAGATTCCACTCTAAAGTCATTTATTATTCTTATAAACGAGCAAGCACAGAATGAGTATGGAACGTGTGAACGTGTAGAATTAGCCCAAGCAACTTACTTTTCGGCAGTTCTGTCCCACAAGATATATTGGAATTTTTGATCAAATTTTTTCCATTTTTAATTCATCGTTTTCCAAGATATTTCGAGCTTTGATTAACTATATTTTATATTTTTAAAATATTTTATGCGTTCTGAATTCTTTTTTTCCTGAATTTATGGCGATAATAAACTTTCATTTTATACCACTGTAGTGAGTTAAAATATTCCTATAAACCAAGCGAAAAAGGCTTTTAATTCTTTTAAAAAAATTAATTTTAAATCGCATGGATTAATATTCCTTTTCTGAAAAAAATATGTAATAAAATGAATTTATTTAAAATATATTTATACAAATGTATATAAATAGAAGAAAAGTAAGTAAGCTCTCATTAATGCTCATCATTTTTTGATTAACTTCGTTGGCTGTTAGTAGGACGACATAATTTTGCCAGGAAGTCACTCACGATAGAATGCAGTTGTCTGTCCACAGCAAACTGTTTAAAGACAGGTTTATTAATAAGAGGGAGAAAAGGTATAAAACAGGTTCCATATTGAATATTTTCTGGTGAGTGTAAATTTAATCTTATAATCTCGATTTAAACCTTGCATGATGACTGAAAATGATTTTGCTGTGGAATAAAGAAATAATAACTTATCACTTGCACAGTTATTTGCCCTTAGGATGGAAGCTTATATTGCAATAATACTGATTTAGTCATTGCCACTCACAGACTTTTAATTTATCAACCAATTAAGATGTTTGTGAGTTTAATATATAATAGAATTTCATTTAACAAATGTTTATAATAATTTGAAGCAATATTGAATTAGTAATAGATTACTATTTGAAGGAAAATTCAAAAAAAAAAAACAAATTTCCAGATAAATTCACAGTACCTCAAAAAATACAAAATACAGAGATTTTTTTGAATATTAAGAAATTTGAACCAAACATAGACATAGGCTCCGTGAGAAGCCAACCGTATAATTTGCTAAATAATCTTCCTCATTGTTCATAATTTCTATTATTTATGATTTTATATTTATTGTATATATAATTATTTTTATTTTTTTTATTTTATTTTATTAATTATTTTATTATTATAATTTTTATCATATATTTTTATCTTGTTAACATCCCTTCGACTTCGATTTTTTTTTTAGATTTTTTTAGATTGATAATTTTTTCTTTTACAGTTAATGAACTGATAATTAACAAAGAAGAACTAAAAATAAGGACTTGTGCACTGAATTCGACAAAATATTCTATTCGAAAATGAGCTACGTAATTTCAATAGATTTCTTTTTTTTTCTGTCAATTTCAACTAAAATCCAATTTTCAACAGACTTTAAAATTTTAAAAATTTCTTGATTATCTTTTGATTACAAATACCTCGAAGTCAAGCATCATGGGCTGAATGGGCTGAATGGGCTGAATTTCTATCTCTTTACTATCATTAAAAGGTCAAATCCAGAGATTTTGTTATATTTTATTTCTGTCCTCATGTGAATATTATTTGGCGAAGAGTCCTCAGTCTAATGAAGGTAGTCAAACCAGAAATGATAAATAATTTTAGAAGAAGCCATCCACTTTATCAGATTTTATTGCTTGCCATAGCGAATTTCAAGAAATTTTATCGGTTTAACGAAGCTTTGTGAAAATAATCTAACACAGAATAACCCCAGTGAATCATTTTTGAATTTTATTTAATTTTATTTGAATCATAAAAACATA